GTGTTTCCCCTGCCATTATATTAGGGGGGCAGCCCGCCCCCCCAACATCATATCATACACACACAGAAATGTAAAGGTATTCACGGCAACCTGTCAAAATAAAAGTTTGGTTTAACTTGAGGGCATTGGCAGAAATATATTACTATTGTTCAGTAGAATCCACGTAACAGGCTGCTACTACTAAAATTATTAAAACCTTATTTTTAAGGAATAATCATACAATATTTCTTCAATGTTTTAATTGTAATATTAAATGACCTTTACTTTCCAAAAAATTAAATTTGTTTAATTTTCATTACTTAAAAGATTAAATTAATGCCGCCCCCCCAACATCATATCATACACACACAGAAATGTAAAGGTATTCACGGCAACCTGTCAAAATAAAAGTTTGGTTTAACTTGAGGGCATTGGCAGAAATATATTACTATTGTTCAGTAGAATGCACGTAACAGGCTGCTACTACTAAAATTATTAAAACCTTATTTTTAAGGAATAATCATACAATATTTCTTCAATGTTTTAATTGTAATATTAAATGACCTTTACTTTCCAAAAAATAAAATTTGTTTAATTTTCATTACTTAAAAGATTAAATTAATGTTTATGCCTTAAAAAATTTTAAATACACAACACAGAATTTCTGAGCAAAAAATCATAAGGCTATTGTAAGAATAAATGAAACTTGTTTTTATGCTTTCAAATAATTAGACTTGAATTATTAGAATTTGGTTACAATAAAACATAAGGTTGGAAAAAATAAAACATTTCATAGGGCCCTAAACATGTAATATTTGTTAAACTTTTAATAAATTGATGTTAAATTGTTTAAGTTTCATGATTTGAATTAATTAGACATGCATTTTGACTAATACAATTTTATTTAACCATTAAAAAGGAGTCCATAAATTTTTTTTTTTTTAAACGCCGTACACCTAGGGGAAACACTGCGAAAATCTGACTTTTCCAGGTTTTAAAGGGGTCATATGATACGATTTCAAGTTTTCCTTTCTCTTTTTGGAGTGTTACAAGCTGTTCGTGAATAGATAAGATCCCTAAAGTTGCAAATACTAAAGTCTCAAACCCAAAGAGATATTCTTTATAAAAGTTAAGACTGATCCAATCCCTCCTAAAACGCCTCGTTCTAACACGCCCCCACATGTCTACATCACAATGTGGGAAGATTGGCATAACACCGCCCAAATGTTCACGCAAAGAAAGAAGGCATAACTTTATTGTTGCTGCCACCACCGCCGCCATGTTGTGAAGACGCTGTGTGTTTCGTTGCGAAAGCAAAACTACTTTGTTTGGCCTTCCAAAAGAGGACACGACTAGAAATCGGTGGTTAAGTTGTATTTACAACACTGTTCCAGAACAGTTCAAACCAGCGCAAGCTGTGCATTTTATGGAGGACTGTTTCCTGGGAGAGTAGACTACAATGCCGGCTGTTCTGACTCACAGTCTGTAAGTACATTTTCATATTTAAAGATATTGCCACTAATGATTCAAGGGCTGCACGATATATCGTATGCGATATTTAATGCACATCTTGTCAGTAAAGCCGGTTCTGTAATCAGCAGTAAATCTCCATCACGTGCGTGTTTTCACATGGAGCAGCATTTACTACACAGAGCCGTTGTTCACTGACAAGATGCGCAAAACCACAATCATATTTTGCGCAGCTTGGCTCTGTGTAGTTAATGCTGCTCAATGTGAAAGCACGCACGTGATGGAGATTTACCGCTGATTACAGAACTGGCTTTACTGACAAGAAGTGCATTAAATATCGCATGCGATTTATCGTGCAGCCCTAATTCAAACGCCAGTTTTGAGCAGTGTAGAGTAGCGCTTGTTGTTTGTCATTTCTCTGATCATAAATGCAGACTTTGTTTTATGTTTACGCGGTGCAATGCAACGCAATGCGTAAAAAGACAGTATAAGTCATTATAATCCGTAATTATGTGTCCACTGGATGCAAAAAATGCCTCGTTTATAATGGGTGTTATTGATTTTGTCTCGTCACACCGGGACACAGCATCACAGTATGGTAAGGGGCATAACATTTCCATCACACACATGAGGTACTCGGCCAATCACAACGCACTGGATAGCTGCCCAATCAGAGCACACCTCGCTTTTCAGACCGATGAGCTTTGTAAAAATCGTAAGAAAGGCGGGGTAGAGAGGAGAAACAATAATGTACAGCATGTGTAAAATAATGTGTTTTTTGAACCTTAAACCACATAAACACATTTCATTACACCAAATACACAAAATAACGTTCTTTTAGCAACATCATATGACCTCTTTAAGTGCTACAATCAGGTCCCCAGTGCACCTACCAGCCAAGGAAATGTGAAAAAGATTAACCCAGTAACTTTGTTTTGGGAAGCCTTTTTCTGCAAGCGTCTGAGAAAACAAGCATGTCTGATTTCGCTCCCTTGGTGATGTGGCAAAGGGATCTCATTATAATATTACCGCCCCTTAATCTGTAAATTTACACCCACGGCGCCGTTATTGTGTTTTCGCAAACGACAACGGTGTACTAGTTCTAATGCCATGGCGAAAGTTTTAGCAAAACATGCTAACTGTTCTGTCTTTGGCTGTACAGATGAGCACAGAACTCTATTTACAGTTCCAGCCTCAGAGGAGACAACAGAGCAGTGGATCTATTGATTTATTTAATGTATATTGCTGCTGCCACACAGAAATAAAATAAACATGCAATTTTTTTTCCCAGCTGTTTACCTTCAGACATAACCGACTGTTTTTTGTAACTCGTGTGTGTTTTTAACGTAAACTTGTGTGTGAATGAAAAAGATTAACCCAGTAACTTTGTTTTGGGAAGCCTTTTTCTGCAAGCGTCTGAGAAAACAAGCATGTCTGATTTCGCTCCCTTGGTGATGTGGCAAAGGGATCTCATTATAATATTACCGCCCCTTAATCTGTAAATTTACACCCACGGCGCCGTTATTGTGTTTTCGCAAACGACAATGGTGTACTAGTTCTAATGCCATGGCGAAAGTTTTAGCAAAACATGCTAACTGTTCTGTCTTTGGCTGTACAGATGAGCACAGAACTCTATTTACAGTTCCAGCCTCAGAGGAGACAACAGAGCAGTGGATCTATTGATTTATTTAATGTATATTGCTGCTGCCACACAGAAATAAAATAAACATGCAATTTTTTTTCCCAGCTGTTTACCTTCAGACATAACCGACTGTTTTTTGTAACTCGTGTGTGTTTTTAACGTAAACTTGTGTGTGAATGAGAACTCAGTTAGTACTCACATGCTGTGACAGCCGCTTTCTGTCCGTGTGCTTCGGATGTGTGCTCTCAGAAAACCGTAGGTCAGAAGTTTAAACTCATATAGTTTAAAACGCATGATTTCAGCGCGATAAACATGATAATCAGAACCAAAACAGATGTTTTTAGCAGGTCCGAGCTGTAATGGCACAGCTCTATTCTGGAAAAAGGGGCGGGGAGCAGCAGCTCATTTGCATTTAAAGAGACAGGCCCGAAAAACAGTGTGTTTCTGCTTCCACTCAAAATAGGCATTTTCAAAATTATATAATAAATGATCTGTGGAGTATTCTGAGCTGAAACTTCACTGACACATTCTGGGGTCACCAGAGATTTATATTAAATATTGTAAAAATGGGCATAATAAGTCTCCTTTAATGCAACATAATTATTTTTATAATTATTAAGCTTCAAACCGTTTTTCGGCTCCAACTTCTGAACTGTCACCACAGCCAGACAGAAGACCTTACAATGTTGTTGACCGCTTATGATATTCACACAACAATCATGTTTCGCATATCACATGAAATGCAGAAGCCATTTTGTTTTTCTTATGTTGCTAACTACTAACATGACTTAGCCTACTTAAACTTTGGGAAAACATCTAAAAATCCTAATCAATTGATTTATTATTTTAACAATGGAGTTAAGATATAATAATTGAACAAAGAAAATATAAGCATAATTAATTTTTTTAAATGCTAAAAACACAACCTGTTCCTTCTACTAAGACATAGCAGTAATATTTCAGATATATACATATTTATATGTTTACTTTCTTAAAGTTTAATAGATTTCTATCAGTACATGAGGTACTGATTAATGTAATTAACTGTCTGAGACTAATGTAATGTCATAGATAAAATTAAGCGAAATTATACATTTGTGTTATGAACATTCTATTTACCCTTTATGGTTAATTGTGATGTGAATATGTTGCCATTTTGATAACTAAGCAGGTAACGTTGCAATACAAGTTTTGTCCCATGTCTCAAGAATGAGTGTAACAATAACTGAACCTGTTACTGCAGTTTTTACTATAATAACCTGGCATTAACCACCCATTTCCTCAACAACTAAAATGACATAATGATTCTGAAAACAACTTCTTACACTAGAAATGTCATTTTCATTAGCACAGATTTGGCAGAAGAAACACTAACTACAGCAACTATGGGATCCTGGCAGAAACATTTCTAAGGGACTAGTCAAAAGGGGGGGGGGACTTGTGTCAATATTGTTTTACATACTGTTGCATAACTTTGTTATGCAGTCTTTAAATATATTCCTAGTCACTACATAGCCTTTGAAACTCCAAACAAACAGCTCAAGTATTTCAATCGCCTGCTATGGTTATTAATTTGGTTTAACTCAGTCTAATAAGCAACAGTTTACGAAAGTGTTTCTCATGCCTATGAACTATATACAGCACTTTCGCTACAGAGTTTTAACTCTTACTACATGCATTAACTCCTACATTTCTGCTTATATGTCTGTTTTTACGTTTAAGCAGTAATTTTCTTAAATAAAGGCGGGGAGTTAAAGTGACGCAGGCCTCGTTTGGATTCCTGAACCCCCTTTTCCGCTTATGGGGTCCCCATTTCTGTGAGCAAGATCCACCCATATCTCCTAAACACCCTCACATCTTTTTAAAGGGCCGAAAAGCACCGAAAAGATTCCGACATCTATCCGCTTACCTGGATAAACTGGATGGTTAATGCTGATTTTCCGACGCCTCCACCTCCAACGACCACCAGGCGATATTTCTCCTGCACTGAGCCGTCCTTCCAGCCAGCCATCGGGGACACACTGCTGCTCTCGCTCCGCTGTCTAAACACACGCACACCGAGACACTTTACTCTGTGACAGGCCTTCAAATGGAGAAATGCAGCGGAAAAAATACAATACGGTGTTTAGGCGATATGTGAACTCAGTGGTAATCCGTACAAGAGGAGAAAAGTACGACCACAGTCTGTGGGAAATGCGTTCACTGCTGCCTCAAGTCCATACGCACTCGCCTAAATCGCTACCAGGCACTGACTGCCTGTGCTGCCTGCAAGATGAGGGGAAGATAGGGCTAATCAATCCAGCCAGTACACGCGGCAGGCGCTAGGGGGCGCAGACTGCTACTCCCGCCGGTATGTCTTGGTTTGAAACTCATCATGCGAATGTATCATTGATCTGTTACTAAATATCCGGAATTGCGAAGTAAACGTTGAAGTCTGCCACTGACACCCATATTGTCCCACTCAGTGTCTATGGTGGTCCTGGGCTATCTTATGGTCACTCACTGTTGAATGTCAGTCTGAAAAATACCAAAAAAAAACTCTAAAACGAGCCAAGGCTGGGAGACCAGTTACGACCAGCAAACCATCTTAGGCTGGTTTGCTAAATGTACATTTGAAATCGTCTCAATCAGTGGTTCTCAACCAGAGCACTGGAGCCCACTAGGGGGCTCGCACAAGTCCAAGGGTTAAAAATACTACAAAATCTGTTTTAAAATAAGTTAAAACCACAAAAGAAAAAAGCATTTACCCCAACAACTGCCATTTTTATTTAAGAATCAGGGTTCCCACAAGCTTAGAAAACCTGGATATGCAGGGATTTTAAAAGTGGTTTTAGACCTTGAAAAGTTATGGAAATTAGTAAAATAATAAATAGTCATGGACATTTCTATAATAAATATACATTTTTTTGTAATTATAAAACAAACTTAAAAATCTTGTAATCATGCATTGCAGTTCATTAAAAATATTATTATTTAAATAAAATATAAAATAAAAAATACTACTTATTAATCATATAGTTTCTGTAGGAAAAAAGAAGTTTGAAAACAAGCAGCACTGTCATTACATCCAAAGTAAAAGAAATATCTTAGCCTATATACATAGGGGGTCTTCAGGTATTGTTTTGGACAATGGGGGGTCTTGAAATTAAAACGGTTGAGAACCACTGCTCTAAACTGTCATTATACATACAGTACTCAGCATAAATTAATACACCCTCTGAAGCTTAACAAGTTCAGCTATTACTTTTTACTTAGAAGACATATTAGTGTTCTTTGGAGATACAATGTTCCAAAAAATAATAATTAAAATGAATCAGGAAAATACAATTTAAAAAAAAACAGTGATAAAATGTTGTGTGGCAGAAATGAGTACACAAATGAGTTACAAAATAAAACTAAATAAAAAATAAATTCTGGTGCAAGTCAAAGGCCATTTTGATCAACAGGTGGGTGTGTTAAACCAAAACCATTAAAGAGGAGTCATTTCTTGACAATTAAACATGTTACATATAGCCCACTGAATCATTCTCAGACTTAACACTGTCAACAATGGAATCACTTGGGAGAGAATTGTCAGGAGACTTATTTCTTTGAACAAAAGAGGAAAGTAGTACCAAATCATTGTTTTGAGTGTGAAAATATAGCAAAAGTAGAAACACAAAAACACTGAGCTTGTGACAAAGTCCCTGAAATAATCAGGCATTCCCTTTAAGCTGTCATGAGTAAGAAAAAGAGCAGTGTACCAAGCAAGTGTTTTAGAGCTGGTAAAAGCTAGGGTTGTGTATCGGCAAGAATTTGGCGATACGATACTTATCACGATACAGGGGTTGCAATACGATATGTTGTGATATATTGCGATACTGTAAGCAAGAAGATATATTAAGATATTTCTTATTTTAGGAATAGGAGAATAGGATATCATTTTAGGAAAACTGTCATTTAGAACACTATATGCAAACCTTGGCAAAAAAAAATCTATTTATATCTACAATAGACAGTTTTTTTGTATGTACAGGTACTGTATATTATGTGCAAATTTGAGGTGTAGGCTGAGTATGAGTGTTAGATAAATAAGTGTATGAGTGAATAAATAGTGTGTGTTCCACGGTTATTGTCAAGACGATATATTGGAATATTTCTTATTTTAGGAATAGGAGAATAGGATATAATTTTAGGAAAACTGTAATTTATAACACACCACTATATGCAAACCTTAGCAAAAAAATTAAAAAATTAATTTACACACACACATATATATATTTTATTATTATTTTTTTTTAACCAGAACACAGTGAAATCTGCATTTGCATTAATCTGTCCCTGTAACATTCAACGCTACTGAACCACTTTTTGTGCAGTACGAGTAAAGGGGGAACAATTAAGTGCTTGCAGGAGTCAGATTTGACTGATCATGGGTCGAGAGGAGGGATGACCTACAAGAACATGGTGGAGGCTTTGCTACTCAACAGATCCTGAGCTCATTGACAAATAGTCTATCTTATATCGTAAAATGCACTCCTTTTACACAGAGGTGATCGCAAAATCGAAAGTGAAAGTGAAGCGCGAGCGCTCATTCAAAAAACATTTAAATGCTCGCCATTGATAGCGACTCCCTGATACGCAAAAATGATATGCAATTTTAGAATGTTTATGTACAGTATGAATGAGGAGTACAGTAAAATGTGCCTGCTTCTCACAGTGAAGTTTGGTGGTGGTAAAGCTCTTATATGAAATGTGTAAGTGCTGAAAATGTGAAGGAGTTGTTCTTTATCAGTGCTGTCATGAACTCACACTAAACCAAAAACTTGAAACGGAAGATGGCACCCTCTCCTCATTCCCTGCATTGATCCTGTTTAACTTCTGGAGGATGAGCCCTGGTCTTTAAAGGGGTCATATGATGCGATTTCAAGTGTTCCTTTCTCTTTGGAGTGTTACAAGCTGTTTGTGTATAAATAAGATCCCTGAAGTTGCAAAGACTAAAGTCTCAAAACCAAAGAGATATTCTTTATCAAAGTTAAGACTCTGCCACGCCCCCCTAAAACAGCTCATTCTAACACGCCCCAACATATCTAGGTTACTATGTGGGAATATTTGCATAATGGCTCCCAAATGTGCACGCAAAGAAAGAAGACGTGGTTTCAGTAACCGCAGTTAGTGTTGAAGCAGCCATGTCAGGGAGACGCTGTGCGTTTCTAGGCAAAAGCAAAAGCACTTTATTTGGCCTTCCAGAAGTAGATGCATTTAGGAATCTTTAAGATTACTTACAACAGAACAGCAATGCATTTTATGTACGACCGTTTCGTGAACCTAGGAGAGGAGGTAATTCTGACTTTGCTATGACAATCTGGCGCTTCTGAATCAGCTACTGTTTTGTTATTAGTTTAAGTATTTGCTATTGACTGTTCAAATGCGGAGTTTTGCGCATCGTGTGTGTGTGTACGCGAGTGAGCGAGAGCGAGAGAGACAGGGTCACATCACAGCGGCTTGTGTATTGCATCATTACTGTGTCTGTTCCCCTTTCGGGCTTGAACTGATGGTAAAACTAATGACATTATTTACTGTCTTTACATTTATTTTGAAAGATGAAGCTCGCGATTATGCTAAGAGGCGTTACATTTCCGACGAGTGCTTGCGGTGCATCACAATGTACTGGGTCAGCTGGCCAATCAGAGCAGACTGCGGTTGTCGTAAGGAGGGACGAAGCGTTTGAGAGAGGTGGGGCATAGAGGACCTACAATAATGTACAGTATTTGAAAAATAATGGGTTTTTTGAACATTAAAGCATGTCAACATATTCTGTTACACCAAATAAACAAAATAATGATCTTTACAAAAGCATCATATGACCCCTTTAATGGGGAGTGTTGCTCAACTCATCTCTACAGAAGTTAAACAGGACAGATGTGACAATTTGTCATGAACTTGTTAACTCAATCCCAAGAAAGTACTTAAAGATATGGAGGACATATGGTGAATTTAATCAAGGGTGTACTCATTTCTCCGTTTAAACAAAATTGGCTAATTTACTTATTTGACAGATATTAATGACATCAATTTCTGTTTTTATTGAGTATATGTTTAGTACATTTCAATTTTGCCATCTTTCCATACATTGTATTAGTGATCATTAAGAAAAAAACTTTTGTATTTGTTCAGAGGGGGTGTACACTGAGTACTGTAGTAATAATATTCATTGTAATGTTGAAAATGAACTATGATCTCACTAGGTTTAATCTCTTTTATTGTATGGCTTGTTTGTTTCCTCTCCTAAAGGGAAGCTTCTGTAAATGATTTTATCTGTCTACGGAAATCTGAAAAGGACAACCAATAACACAACACCTGTTTGTGTGACAAATATAACAATTAAGGCCCTTTTCCAGCCACTTGAATGTGCGGGATTTATAATGGAGCTGTTTATTTCAACAGCTGCAGAACAGTGACCCGACACTTACTTACTGAGGCCAATATCCCTACCCCTCCGCCTACCCCTTCCCCTTGAAACAGAGTGTCAAGGGGTAGGGGTGAAAATATTCCCCTAAGAATTGGGACACCACTACTATGCCGTCACACGTCACCATACGTAGTCTAGCTCCTACAATACACACACCTTTACTGGTGTGCTGGTGTGCATCAGAGCCTTTAATTACCGTTCTATATTAATGCGCTGCTTACTGACACACACACACACACACACACACACACACACACACACACATATATCAGAGACCGCGCAGCTCACACATCCAGGAGCAAATTAACTTGTCAACGCTGCTCCACAACTTTTATTAATAACAGTTTAAATACTGAATCACTACATTATATTTTCCAGCAACAAGAGGATAAAATAGCTGTTTTTGATGTAAACTCACTCTAAAAAGAGAAACGCACAGACGCAACTTTCATCTCTCTCTCTCTTTCTCTCGCTCTTGAATTGGCAATATTTGAGAAAAGGGTTTAGCGATTTCTAATTATTGGGGGGACTAGCCCTCCTCAATGTCTATGATGGTTATCGCCCTGATCAGACATGAAAATATGTTGTAATGATATGACGTTAGCAAACTTTAGCGATTTTTTTGCAAACATTTCTTTGAGTAACATGACCGTAAATATGAACTCACGATTGAATGTAACATAAAACAAATGATTACTTTTCGTTAAAATCTTTATTAATGCCAAAAAAATGCTTACATTTGTGTCTTTTTGTTCTCTCCGGCAGCCATATTGCCGCTGAAGCTGGTTTACGCTGAGATAATTCATACCCCTTCGTTTGAAGTGTGGTCCCGAAAAATCTTCGTTTGAAGGGCTATCTGGCCCTTCCCCTACCCCTCCAACCAAAAGAGAATCGAGACACC